TATTTTTTTATTTTTGTGTGTTTTCGACGTGTTATTGACACATTGAAATTCCTATTTATGAACGATCATGATGATTTTCTAAGTGTTCTATTAGTACTGTACAAAATTATTTTTATCCTGTATGAATTTTGTAGTTTGTCGATCAAAGTTTTGGCCTGGTTGCATAATGTTTTTATTTTCCAATACATATCATATTGTATGATATATATAATATCATCTTGGACGATTTGTATTCTTATGTCTGTACGCACTTAGATAGTTATCTGGATAAAATCAGTTATTAAAACTGATCGTACGTACGAAATTTTATTTCGGATATACGAACCACGTGTCATTCAATGTTGGGGGTGAACCTAAACGTCTTTAAAATGATCTTTAATATCCGTTCGTCCAGGACGAACACATGTTCGTCTGTACGATCATCTGGTCAAAAAGCATGTAAGAAGGGATGCTTCGTAACTTATGTGTTTATAAAAAGTTATTTTATTTTAAAATTATTTTTTTACATGATGAACCATTTATCGTACTATACGAACCTCATTTCGTACGTACGAATGGTCATTTTCCTTTAAATAGAAGGGCTTTACATTTGACTTTCATTCACTTCACAGCTTCCTTCAATCCTTTACTTCTTTGTTATAGCCAGTTCTATCAAGCGTGGTAAACTCACTAAGGAATCATCCTCTAGGAGTGAAGATGAGAATTTTCTATCTAGAGAAAATAAGGATTCTTTCCTTAGGTTTTTCTCTGCAAAAATTACTCCTAAAATCTTACTTCAAGAAGATATTCATTTTCATGTCATGCCCCTTTTCGCTACCACTCTATTTGTCTTTATCCTGACCTTGATTCATATGTAAAACAAAGAAACCTTTCACTACTTTCTGGCAAACAAGTCTTGTAGTTAGGGTGAAAGTAGGATAAGATCTTATGTACTGAAGAAAAGGGTAGAAATAACTAAGGAAGATTTGGGAACCATTTTACATTTAAGAACTCAAGGAGTTAGAGCCCACATAATGACTTCTAATTCTGATTTTAACTATTCTGAAATAAATAAAGCTCTTAGAGGGGTTGAACAAGTAAGTAATTTGCCTAGGGTCTATATATTAAACCAAAATGCAAGGGTCATTCAACATGTCCTTAGAACTTCAATAATTCCTAAAGCTGGTGAACATATCAACATTACTCATCTTTTATCCACTGTTACCTATCTTATCAAGACTGGATATCCAATAGATAAAGCCTAACTTATTCTTGATTATATTTATGGACTTTCTGAAATTGGATATATCTCTCATAGGTGGAAGAAGAATATTGACTTAAGACATCTTGTAATATATATTTTAGAAAAGAAGAATCTTGTTCATCCTGACCCTCAACTTGAATTGCCAATCTACTTTATCAATGCTTCATTTTGAGCACTTCTTGGGAAAGATGGTAATGCAAGTGAGGATTCTGAGGGAGAAGGGGGAGCACCAGCACCTGCACCTGCACCTGCTCATGGACCTAATTTTTAGGAGATGATCAAGCGCTTTGACCGACTAGAGAGTCATTTTGATCAGCACTTTGATCAAATTCAGACTCATCTAAACCAGTAGGATGCTTAGTACCAGCAAGATATGGGGTGAATTTAAATATAATTCTAATATGTGAACAATAATGTAGCTATAATGAATAGCTATTTTTTAGTCTTCAACTAGCCTTCTCCTCCACACCAAGACCCCTCAGATTTTTAGATATACTTCTTGTGTGTTGTCTTTGTTAGTCCATTCAGATGTGTTTATCTTTGTGATGTTTTTGATGCTATGTGTACTAGTCTTGTTTTAGATCTTTGATGTCGTTGTTGTTATGTTATCTTGTCCTAATATATATGATATTGATATCAAATACGCCTTATTTTAGTAGATCTTCAAAATGATATCAATAAAAAATATCTTATTTTATTTAGTTGATTGCATTTTGTTTGAAATATTAGTTTGCTTATGTGATAATCCTATGTTAATTGATCTAAAAAATTCATAAATTAAACAGCAATAAACAAATTAATTTCATTATGAAATTTAAATTTTCAAAAAATTTTAAGTCAATTTATAACTTCATCAAGTTAAGACAATTAATCTTATGTTCTTTTTAGACAAACACAATTCACAATATTATTATTGCAATTTTGATGTCTTACTATTTTTATTTCTCATTTTAATATAATTATTCATGTAATTAGAGAAATTTAATTTGTTAGATTATTGATTTTGAAAAGATCAAAAAAAATGTACAATGTGTACAAAAATTGAAAGAATGCGCAATGGTTCTTAAATTCAAAAGATGCACAAAATTAGCTCAAATACAAAAAGATGCACAAAGTGTGCCCAAAATATTTGAAAAAATGTAAAATATCATAAATTGATAATGTTATTTCCTCTATTTTTTAATCTTCAAATTCAAATCAATCTAATTTTCAATTATGTTTTATATTGAAAATAAAAATTATCTAATTTTCATTTCATCACTTTTGTAATAATTCTCTTTATCTAATTATCTAGAATGATTCATGAATTTGATTAACTTTTCTTATCTATATTATACCTTAATTTAAATATTTTTGAATCTTTCTATTTTAACTAATGAACATTAACTTTGTTATTGTAATTATAGTTCAATCTCTTTTAAGATAAATTTCTAAGTTTTTTCATATAACTTCTTCCATTTCAATTATCCTTCTTCCCTTTTTGTTATTATCAAAAGGGGGAGACATATTATTTGCATTTGATTGTTTTCCGTGTGTTAGTATTGTTTTGTTAGTGTCGTTATTGTTGTTTTGTATTTTTTGGATGTTTTGTGTTTTGTAAAATTTTAAAATTTTTTGATTTGTTCTTTTAAGAATTCTCATATATACAAATGTTTATTCATTCAGGGAGAGTTAAGGAGACATGTAGAGTATTCAATTTTATTCAAACAATAATTTTTTGTCATCATCAAAAAAAGAGAGATTGTTGATATAGTTGCTACTTAGTTCTTGCCTATTTGATATTTTTACAACTTGAATATTTTTTATGATTAAAAATATTATTATTTTGATTATTATTTATTCTAACATATTTTGGAAGAATTGTTTTGCTCCTGTGTGTACTAATATATTAAGGAAATTATACTCCGGATTATTGATATATACAAATGTTTATTCATTCAGGGAGAGTTAAGGAGACATGTAGAGTATTCAATTTTATTCAAACAATAATTTTTTGTCATCATCAAAAAAAGGGAGATTGTTGATATAGTTGCTACTTAGTTCTTGCCTATTTGATATTTTTACAACTTGAATATTTTTTATGATTAAAAATATTATTATTTTGATTATTATTTCTTCTAACATATTTTGGAAGAATTGTTTTGCTCCTGTGTGTACTAATATATTAAGGAAATTATATTCCGGATTATTAAAGACTTCAAATCAATATCAGTTTAGAGTTTATTATTATTGAAATCTGTATTTTCCATTTTATTGAGTATGAAAAAGTATGATTATAATTGAGCACATACACACCGGGGGAATGTTTTTAAAATTTAGATTTTTAAAATGATCGTCCTGTATGAAATCTGTTCGTACGGGATGATCTGGTAAGTTATTTTTCTCGATGAGCAGATGAACGAACAGTAATGAAAATTTTTTCTAAGTATGGATCGTACTGTACGAACCCCGTTTGTACATACCTTCCAAAGTACGAAATGGGTGGGTTCTTGTTCACTTAAATAACTTTTTTTAAGTATGGATCGTACTGTACAAACCTAGTTCGTATATACCTTCTAGAGTACGTAATGGACGGGTCGTTGTTCGCTTAAAAATTTTTTTTTCTAAGTATGGATCGTACTGTACAAACCCAGCTCGTACATAGGTCCCATTTTATCTCAACGTTTTGTTTAGACGAATTTGAATATATTTATAAATGTTCGTATCGGATGATGATGTCATCATTTGTACGCCATCTAGAACATGAATTTGTGGGGTTCCTTTTCGTACCGACGAACTTGAAAAATTTTCTCACTAAACGTTACGAACGAAAATGATTTGTACCGAATGATGATCACGTACAAAAACATTTCATACCTATTCACAGCATGTTCGTAAGCAATAATTTTTGAACTTTTCGTACGTACGAAATACGATCGTACTGTACGATCTTGTACGCTAAAAATTGAAACTTTCAGTTTTTTGGATGTTTTTTTATGTCTTGGGTATAAAAAGTCCACTAAAACTTATGTAAAAAAGTCTGATCTTCATGATTTTTCAAGGGAAATTAAAATAGAGAGTGTTTGAGAGATATTTTTTATAAGTGGAGTGTGAAGGGTTCACAAGGTTACTCAAAAATAAGAATCTCCGTGTGATTTGTGTTTTTCACTATTCCTCTTATTTTTCTAAATTGCTCATGAGAAGATCTTTGAAGATCATATGGTTCTCTGCCGACACTTGGAGAGTGTGAACAGACAATGGTTCTCTGCCGACACTTGGAGAGTGTGAATAGACGATTGTTCTCTGCCTACAGTTGGAGAGTGTGAACAGATGACGATTCTCTGCCGACACTTGGAGAATGTGAAAGGATGTCGGTTCTCTATCGCACCGGGGATTAGTGGAAGAGAGTTTTGTAAAGGGTTCTCCGCCTTGATATGGAGGCAAAATGAGTGACACTTTTGGTAATAGTGCAATACCTAAAAAAAGAGTTTTCAGGGAGTGGATGTAGGTCGTGTTTGACCGAACTACTATAAATCTTTTTATCTTTTTAATTCCGCATTTATTTACTGCAAGTTATTTATCTATGGTTGAAAAGTAATTTTATAACTTTAATTAACTTGCTTTAAAATTTCAACGGCTTTATATATATATATATATATATCTTAATATTTTAATATTTTTAATTAAATATTCATCCTAAATTAAGAACTTCTGCAATTTAAAGAATTCTAACCAAGCCTTGCACTTAAAAAGTGAAAAAAAAAACAAAAAAAAAACAAAAACAAAAACCTTGGCGTTATTTATTTATTTCACTTATAATAATACATAGCATATAAGCGCCAAAGATGAGATTTCAGATATTTGATGCGTTATTATATGTAATGTAACCCCAACGAGGTTCGTACATCATTGGTCTATTTCTCGGCAGTGAGCATTTCAATAAGGTCGTCCAGCGCATGCGCAGTAGACCAAACCTTTGGCCCGTATATGACCGCATTACCATTTTTCTGCATGACAAGCACGTACTCGCCAACTTGCCCCCTCTTCGTCTCTGAGTTTCTCCACACAGTTCTGTATTCATCATCTTTGATTTCTAGCCCTCCCTTGTGATTTAGCCTAGCAAAGCAATTTTCTCCAAAACCTGTTGTCCTCGTACGCCACAAGATATCCCCGTTGCCCTTCTGGAGAACCAACTCGCACTCTTTTGTCATGATGAAATTGTATCCGTCGTCGGTGAGCTTGCCATCGTTGTACAGCACCTGGCCGGAGAATAGCACGTTGTAAACTAACGGAGTACAATTCTGTAGATTTTTCATCGAGGAGACCATCTCATTGCTGCTATTACTGCTGCTGCTGCTGCTTATGCTTTCCGCCGCCCGTACAGACCATACTTCTGGGCCGTAAATAGATACCTAGAAATGTACAAACAAATTATTGTCATGAGCAGGTCAAATTATTAGGTCCGATTACCAAACCTAAATTTTCGTCTAGATTTCATGCACTTTTAATATTTTTTTTATGTATTTTTAAAAAAGAGTAGCTAATAACCAATTTTAATTCCATTTTAGCTACTTTTTTGTTGAGTATTTGCAAAAATATAGCAAAAGCGCAACAAAAACACAACAATATCTTACTCATTGAATAATTGCTGCCCTTTTGTTATGCTTTTACTGCGCTTTTAAAATGCTTAGTGAATGGGCAGCAAAAGAGCAGCTAATATGAAGTTAAAATTGTGTATAAGTTGTTCTTTTTCAAAAATACATCAAAAGTAAAGTAAAAGCGTACTAAAAGCGTACGGAATCCGAACTAAAATTTAGGTCCGATTGACCGGACCTAATAATTTGCCCATGAGATGGGTAAAAGCCATAAATTTTTTTAATTGAACATAAATTAATATTTCAAATATAACATTAATATTTATAATTGTAGAAATATTTAAATTAAATAATTTAATAAAAAATTATATTTATATAAATAAAAATACATCATATATAAGGACATCAATCTCCATCCATCATCTAAATACAATTGCAATTGGAGGTTTGGAGTTTGAAAGCCCACAAATATTGGAGGTTTGACTTTTCTTTTTGCAGGAGTTGTGTGCTTATTGCTTTTATTTTTCAATTCCTTTTTGGGTGTTGTTGACTTACAGTCCTAGAATGTTCTCAGGTTTTTTTGTAATTTTTAGTATTAGGAACCACCGGCTTCTAGGTTTTTATATATATTTTTTTGTAGCTCTTATGAGCATTAGTAAGCTGGAGGTTCCTATTAAGGACCTTGTAACCTTTTTTTGATATTAATACGTAGTCCCTTTGTGTGAAAATAAAAAATAAATCTAAATACACTTGCAATAGATTGATGATTTAACTTTTTATATGTACCTTTCCTTCAGGGAGGAGGATGGCAATATATTTGCCGACCTTAGAGTTGGCATTGGAGCTTATCCACACTTGATGGCCAAGAGGGTTGCGGACGACAAGGCGGCCGTTGTCGGTTAAGGAAAGGAAGCAGTTTTGGCCGCCGAGGACAGAAGTTTTTGAGTACCAGATGGGCTTGCCGTGGCGGTCAGACAAAACTAGGTAGCAGTCATGCCGCATTAACAAATTGACGCCGGAGTCCGCATAGCTGAGCTTGGCTTGCGGTTCGAGGGTCTGCCCTGTCAGCAAAACGTTAGTAACAGCCTTGCTACGGCTTGCTGATATTAGAACTACCAGGAGGAAGAAACATAAATGAATGATATTCAGGAAGGAATCATTGCGACCGACGGCGGCCATTACGATGAAGCTGCTGTGTATAAGATGGTTGTTTGATAAACTATGATGGAGCTGCTCTATTTTAGTGGAATTTATAGTTCCATGCAGAGGTTTGGATTACTATTCCATGCATGTTAATCATGGGAACTTCACCGACAAACAAATAAATGCTTGCTTCAACATCTTCCTACTATTTCAACCTCTTAATTACAGCTCCATGCATGTGAATCACGAGTACTGCAGCTAAACCGAATTTAATGCTTATAGTTTGGCATGCTGTTGACAATTCAAAAGAAGACTTGCAACAAATCTCGCTCGATTTCCTACTGCTTCGAAAAAGGACGGAGGAGTGATACATATATATGCAATAGCACGTGAATAAAATTTTTAAGGACAAAATTATGACAGAAGGAAAATGATATTTTGTGTCTGTTTGTATAATCTTAATTGATCGTTCATTAGTACGAGTGATTTGACAGGAAATAATTTCTTTAGCTATTTCTGTAAATTTGTTTGAATAATCATTAATATAATTGTTTTAATAGATATTTTTTTAGTGTCCTATCACATTAAGTTACTACTTTCATTATTGTCCTATCACATTAAGTTACTACTTTCATTTTTTTTAGTGTCCTAAAGGTAGTAAACCTAGAAACATTATTCTCGACGACCTATCAATATCAAAACTCCAGCCACCAAACCTACAAAAAAAATAACCTACAAAACAAGGGCATAACGTTGAAAATAGAGTGAAATCAGTAATAATCAGGATATAAAATCATTCAATTGTTGTTACAAAAAATATTTAATATAGTAAACCAAAATTCATGCCAACTGCCAATAGCCATATAGACAAGAAAAGCCTCTTCGGTCATAATAATGATCAGCATACTCCCAATCTTATAACCTAATAAATTCCTCATATGAATAGGGTGAATAACAACACACCACACAACCTTGCAGTACTCAGGAATTAAATCAAAAAAATAGAACATCAATTCAATAACCCAAAAGGCAGTAACAATATATAGGAAGCAACAAAACACCATATAATACTATATAATAGAAAGACACTCATTACCCCTACAGCCACCACAAATGAACTTCAGTTATCACCAGAGTACCCCAACCTCCTAACACCAATAAAATCTGATAACAACGCAGCAACAAAAATTGCACCACAGACACCCCAAATACACAAACCAACCAACGGTATGCCATAGCCACAAAACACAAAAAATAATATGGAGAGCCAAACTGTTAACCTACCACCAATAAATGAATAAAAACATGACCAACCACACCCAGCAGCACCAGCTTAGATCCAACAGTTTCAACAGGTTCAATAGCTTCAACCAACACCACCGAAAAGAACAAAAAATAAAAGTAAAAAAGATAATAGTGGGAGGGCTACCAGGCATGAAATCAAAGGAAACTAAAAGAGAAAGACCAAAGAAAACAACAAATCAACCATTTTGGATATAAGGCAAACTAGTTTTGTCCAAATTAATCATACCTTTCATCATATGATGTAAAGTCCTAATGTTAAACTCTAGAAAACTATTAAGTTGACAACCATTATTAGCCAACCAATCTGCACATGCATTAGCTTCACGATAAATGTGTGAAATGGAGTAATTAATAGTAGAGAGGAAATTCTTAATTTTTCTAATCAGGTGAAAGTTTTGAGGATTACTAAGAACCACATTATTAACGATCTGGACTAAAAGCATCGCATCCACCTCAATCCATTTATACTCAAATTAAAATCCAACTTAATACAGATATCCAGGCCATAAGAAACCCATAAGCTTGATCTTTATAACACTACACAATTGTAAAGGACCAGTATAAGCCACAAGGAGATGACCCAAATGATCACGGATAATACCACCAGCACCAGCACAATTGGTCCCAACAGAACCATCAGAGTTAAGCTTGACATAAGGGGGTTTAGGTTTAATTCATCTAACCACCTTGTCAATAGAATTCACAGGGCCACAAACAGTATTTTATTCTTAAAATTAGAAATAATTTGAGTACCATCCATTTTAATGTCATTATGCTTAGCATCATTTCTAGCTTTTCAAATATACCAAAAAAGTAAGAATGGGCAATAAATTAAAAATATGGCCTTTCGAGGTATTCATCCAACCCTCTAAAATAGATAAAACCTCATTATCAATGATAACATTAGTTTTGTTGGCAAGTGCATGGAAATAACTCCACACTTTTTGAGCAATATTCTCATTCACAAAAAGATGTTTAACATTATCCATATTAGAACAACTCTGACAATTGGAAGGAAAGTTAAAACCTTTTTTAAAGCAAATCATCAATCAGAATAAAACCTTTAAGATGCCTCCAAATAAGTATGGAAAAAGAAATTATAATATTGTTATGCCAAATAGCATAATAAATAAGGGAGGTCTCATATTTAATTCTGATGGTGTTCCAAATATTTTTCAAGTGAAATTTATCAGAGGAAGAAAGATTGAACAAAATTTTATCCTTGCATTAAACTTGTAAAGGAATAATCAAGATAATATCAATTAAAATAGAAGGAATGACTTTCCTAAGTTTGGTGACATTCCAACTACCATTAATAAAAAAACTATACATCTAATTAACATTATCAATCAAATGCGTATTAAAAAAACTATCTATAGAAAAAGGACCCAACTAATTATCTTGCTAGAAAAAGACATCACCTTTACCCAGCCCCCATTGAATGAATTGTTTAGCCTCCCATTTAATGTGGCACAACCTTTTCCAGATCATGGAATCATAACTTTTATAAGAATATAACATCGAATGAATATCTTTGCAATATTTAGCATTCATATAATGAGCCCATAATCTGATTTTAGATCTAAAAGAGAATCATAATTTGTCAGAATAAGCTTGAACCGTATCAGTTAAATTTTTGCAACCTAAACCTCCTTCATTAAAAATCCTACAAATCTTTTTCCAAGAAGCCCAACGTATACCATTGCTATTATAGTTAGAGTCCCAAAAAAACTTGTTTAGCATCCTCTCTAATCTAAGGCAAGTAGACACCGTAGGTTGCAAAGTATGAAATAGATAAATAGGAATAGAATTCAAAACAAATTTAATAAGAACTAATCTACCACAAAAAAGATAGAAAATTAGAAGATCAATGTGATAGTTTTCTCTAAAAAATAGTAAAAATGTCTTTAAAAATATGATTTTTCTTTTTACCTTTATAAATAGGAGTACCCAAATACTTTATGGGTAACTGCTTGGATTGGAAACCACAAATGTTTTGGACAGCATTAGTTCTACTCCGATTAACTAACTTACCAACAATAAAGGTACTTTTATCTTTATTAATAGCTAAATCACTCATTTCATGAAATTTGAAAAGGAAATTGATCAACAATTTAATGTTATTAATAGAGTTATTAGAAAATAGAATAAAATCATCAGCAAAGCTAAGATAAGAAATCGAAAAAATCCCGTGTAGTACAAAAAATAAGTTTCAGGTGCCTTAAATATAAATCATCTAACCCCCTGAAAAGATATTCCACAGCAATAATGAAAATGGCAAGAGAAATAGTATCACATTGTTTTAAGCCTTTAGAAGATTTAAAAAAACCATAATTCCTACCATTAATGATCATAGAGAAATAATAATTTTCAATACTATTCTTAATAAGCATAATAAAATAATCATTAAACCCAAATAAAGATAAAACATTGTAAAGGAAATTCTAGTTGATATTATCATAAGCTTTAGTAATATCAAATTTCAAGATAATATTTCCCCCTTTAACCTTGGTATTAATATCAAGTGTAAGCTCTTGAGCCAAAAGAACGTTGTCAAAAATACTCCTGCCCTTAACAAAATTGGTCTAATTATAAGAGATTATTCTAGGAAGAATATTAACCAATCTATTGGAAATGATTTTGGAATTGAGTTTGTTAAAAAAAAATAACAAAGGCTAATCGGTCTAAAATTGTTCCAATTATTAGCCCCATCTTTTTTAGGAATGAGAATAATATTAGCAGAAGAGAAGAATTTAGGATAAGGATTACCATAAAAGAAATCTTCCACCGCTTCAATAACATCCAACTTAACAATATTCCAAGTTTTTTTAACAAAATTGATAGTGAGTCCATCAGGATCAGCCATAGAATCACCATTCATATCATTAATAATATTGAAAATCTTGATTTCAGAAGAAGATTGATAGAGAAAATTAGTGTCATTATCATTAATAATGTGAGGGATAGCATGAGGATTAATTATAGGAATAAAATTACACTGGATATTAAAAATAATCATGAAATGATCAACTCCAAACTTACAAATCAACTCCTCTGAGGCAATCAAACTATCATCGTTATTAACACTTTTATGAATCTAGTTCTTAATTCTATTCTTATTGGCCAAGGCATGGAAAAACTTAATGTTCCTATCACCCTCAAAAACAAATTTAGCATTAGACTTTGCCTCCATAAAGTTTCCTCCTCGAGATGCAATTGAAAAAGATAGTCCTTAGTAATGTTAAGGTTGTTAAGGTTGTTAAGATTGTCAAAATTAGGATTATCCGAGTAAGCTTTATCCAAGTCAATGACCTTAATCTCCGTTCTTTAATATTAATAAAAATATTCTTAAAAATATTTTTATTCCACCATCTCAAACACTGCTTTAATCTACTCAACTTAGACTATAATCTTAACATGCTAGTGATATTATTATCAGGGTAAATAGGAGAATTCCAATTAATATGAACCACCTTCATAAAATCAATATGGGAGATCCACATGTTTTGAAATCTAAAAGCAAACAATCCAGTGTTACTATTAGCATTAATAGTCAAAAGTAAATGTGCATGATCGAAAAGAGTTCTACTTAAGTGTTCAATATTAGACATAGCAAAATCAGCAAGCTAATCATTATTGAAAAGGATCCTGTCAAGTCTTTTCCACAAAGTAGTTCTATTCCAAGTGAATGACTCTCAGAAAAACTAATATCATTCAAGTTGCAATCATTAATTATAGAATTAAATTCTTCCATATCTTT